AAAGACAATCCTAAGTCAATTATGCCATCTGACCTTTTCAAACTCTTCTAAACATTATAGTATCTCTCTTAGAGTCGGTCACCTTAAGAGACATTAACATGCTAATAGTCTTTGAGATTCTTCACATGGCCTCCATACGAAAGGTTAGAAAACTTATTATATGGAAAGGAATACATCGAATTTAAAAAAAATGCAATATTACTTTTGTTTTCATATCTTCTATGAATCATTTAAGTTTATAGATATTAAGTCATAGCTCTAGTGGGTTCTGGCCAGAATTCTGACTCCGGAAGATTTTCATAACCTCTAGAGTATAGCCGGCAGGAAATCACTTAGGATCTCTGACTTAATTGCAGAGACAATAAAAAATAGCTTAGGTATAGTATTATAAGGCTGTGCCTAGTTTGTGTTCTTCAAGGTGCAAACACCTACTGATCAGTAATATGATCGGGATGAAATGTTATATTTTTCTCAGTTCATCTTGATCCTGTGACCATTACGATTCTGAAGAAAGGGCTCAACTTTTCTCTTCAAAATTACAAAAACGTTTTAGAGAACATCTTAGTGGAAGTCATTACTATATTTGACAAGTTACCTGAAGAGACAAATTAGGAAATACAGATGGAAATAATCCTAATAATATCGACACATCAGAAGCCATCAGACAGGAACCGATTTTCAAGGATACACAGGATCCTATATATAAATGAAAAATTAGTCCTTCAGGCGGATAAAAGAGGAGTGACAGTGATAATGGACAAGAAACAAAACACTGATAAGTTGGAAAGTATACTACGAGACAGGATCACGTATTGTGTACTAACAAAGGACCAAACTATGGAGATCAATGGAGCTTTACGTGACTTGCTGAAAAATATGCATAGGAAAGGCGAGATCGAGAATCACTAATAAGAAAGGATGCATGACCGCCAACAGCCTACGGATTATCAAAGATAAATAAAGAATGGGGACTACTAAGGCTGATAGTCAACATGTATTACAAATGTTTCAATTGGGAAACATATTCCTCCTTCGAGTGTGCACGCAGTGGGGCGGCCCTTTGCAGTAACCCTATCCTACAAGCCTGTTTATGAGGAAGAACTCGTATCACTGCTTTGTGAAATAGTTTTGTTGAAATAAGTGGCTACTTGGCTACACGATTTCTACATCCAAATAGGGTATTTCGTTGCTCTTACATTTTTTGAATTCTGCATGCATCAGATGAAGTGTGGAGCAGCTGGGATTGAAGGAATCGTTGGTCAGAACGTACAGTCGGTCGGGGTGTTCTCGCACCATTGCTATGTTCTGCAGTCTCTTTGTGGGCGTCATCTCCAACTCAAGCAGATAAATCTGTCTTTCGGAGTCCTCTATCTCGTAGCAGATCACCTTAGGAAAGGCGGTAAAGGCCTTGTTCACCTCGGTATCCACGTTCTCAATCTCGCCCAACCATTCGTCCAGGCAAAACTTGTCCCTACTCAGAAACTCAATGCCTAGTCTCGGGGACACCATTCGCGTAACCTCCACTTGTTCATAGGTTTCAATGCATGTCTGGTTTAGGTAGGAGATGTCTCCGCTCATACGTATGTTATAGGGGGTCAGCCACGCCATGTAGGACATCGGCTTAATCTGTAGCAGGGAACATCCGAAGGCGTCAACGACGATGCTCGTGTTCACTCGGCTCCAGGCAAAGCTCTCTTCCTCCTCCAGCATCTCGTTGATAACATGAGAGCCCCATGTCGACAGACCAGGCAGAACCATCGTCGCGAAGATTGAAAGCAATCGGCGCAGTTCGCACCTCGGCATCCCTTTGGACGTATGTTGGCTTTTCTCTGACCCAGCAAAAAGGATTCTGTGTGAAATCGATCTCGAGGCCTGGCTTCAAATTCATCCTTAATGGCTCATGATGCGCTCGAGTCTGTGCCCTCTGTCTTCTAGACCCATCTCAGCCGGTGCTTAGAAGACGGTTGGTACACCAGATGTGGTTAAACGTATCTACAGAAGCTAGCAAGACTTTTCAGTACTCGGATTTCTGATTGGTGCGACCTGCCTACTTTCAGACCGAGTAAATAGGCTTAGAAGCTATCCGTGGATCCTGACTAACAATTCGATCCAGCCTTGGTCTCGCCTCCAGTGTTGTACTGGCCAATAGCTCCATTTCCTACAACTAATTGCCTACAAGGCCTGAGGATGCCTGGGAATTTCGCTTACTATCACCACCCAACAGGCAGCCATCCGGCCTAGACTGCGAGTTAACTCTCGTCTAGTCATAGCCCTCATCAGCACCTCTGATGGGCTTCGAGGCCCGTCATCCCGCATCAAGCTCCACGATTCACACTCAGCCATATAGTCACGAGTGCCATTGGAACATGGGGGCCTTGAGTGCCAACCATGAATGCCAATTCATTTATATTTACTATTATATGCATCTACATTGGAGTACCTTTCATTTCGCTTGAAGAGGCGAATGGAAGGGATTCGTAAATTGGTCTTATCGGAAGCTGTAGGGGAATTTCCTTGGAGCTGTGGTTGTAGATTTGTGCAACTAGATCTTTGGCACACCGCCAAACTCCAAGAACAACTTATGAATCCCTTCCACTAACCTCTTCAAACGAAATGAATAGTACTCCAACATCAATTGATTAAGGGATTCTTCAGAACCAAATTTTTCTACATGCAAGCATCGATATAAGGTTGTAGTTAGACTTTGGTTTAGGAACTTTATGAAAATGTTAAATAAAAGACGAAATCAGCCTTGGTCTCTTAAGGTGGCGGAGTGGTGGTGTTGCCGTCAGGCAGACTACGTGGGTGCTGATGAGGCCCAGGTGAGAGCGATACTACTGTTTTCGGGCCGAATAAGAAAGTCATTTTGGAAGCAAAGGTTAGGCGAACTCAATAACATCATAAGGGCTTCCTCTCATTTCACTGCGGGAACTACATCTTATATGCAAATATGTATGTCTTTTTTTACAGGTGATTTAGGTAATGAATAGACAATTTACCATAATTTTTTTGCTAAGTTAGTAGGCTTTCAAGACTACCAGTTAATCAGATATATGAGCTGGGTTCATTCTATTTCGTTTAAGGTGATGAAGGACTGGTAGTATAATTTTCCCACAATGATATGAGTAGAGCTGACGTTTCCATTGAATTTCACACAGCCTTGCTTTCCCAAAAGTTGTTTTCATTCAGGGTTGACTGCAGGTTCGAACTCGCATCGATCTTATCAACACGCCAAGCGGGAGTCGAACCATGACAGTGTAGCGTGTAGGCTCGACACGTTAACCACTACCCCGCATTGCCACGAGTGTCCATAGGTCACAGGGTGGATGTGAATCTCAAGGAATGCCGCTTGGGGTGTTGATTAGACTTGTGCGAGGTCGAAACTGCAGTCTACCCTGGGCCAGAACACCTTTTAGGAAAGCAAGACTAGGTTGAATTTGATGGAAACGTCAGCTCTAGTTATATCATTGTCGAAAATATCAACTACTAGTCCTTCATCACCTTAGACGAAATAGGATGAATACATCTCATATAACTGATTTACTGGCAGTCTCGAAACTGTACTTATATACGAAAAATAAGTCTTTCCAAACGTCCTATTTTGAAATGGCAGTATACAGAATGGGGGAGCTGACAATAGAAAGACAATTATTGAAAGTTTGCGCCAAATAGAGCATTCTAAACTCTGCAAGCCACGGCGGAGGGGAAAAAGAGAAAGAAAAGAACGTGACCGATTCAAACAAAATGTGAGCATGAAGATATAAAGACCAAGATGGTGTGGCCTTTTGTGTAGTAGCACTCTCTTTTTGTTGTATAGAAGTTGTTTGACCCTGTTTTCGCAACTTGGTCATATTGTTAGGACAACGTACCTAGCCCAGAGTCCATTGTATGCAGTCGGACCTTGAACATAGTACATT